CATGCCTGGACGAGCATCGATTCAGTTCAATGTATGTAATGACATTGTCTTCCAACTGCTGACAAACCCTATCTATGAGGGAGTGTGAAGGCTCGCTCTGTGGCGTGAAACTCAAACCTGTCAAACGCTGTTTCTGCAATCGTATTCGATCCATTTTCTCTGCAAGTGGGATGATCCTTGCCTCACTTGACTCTGACCTGTCTGCCCTGGATTTGAGGTCCTCCAAAGACAGCGCATGTGCCTCGAAAAACAGTCGCCTGAAACGAGTGGTTGAAGCAGCTGATGGTGCATTCCCAAACGTAGTGGTCAAGAATGCTATCAGTGCAGTGTCATCATTTTGACCAGGTTGGTAGGTACTGCAGTACGCGTATGTTGCATAACTATTGATACCTGCAACCTCAAGCGCATCAACCTCTGTCTGATCAATTCCCAGTTCCAGTGCCCGATTTTGAAAGGCAACTTTCGAATCTATGGCCATGCTTCAGCGCAAAACCACACTGTGTGCAAGGAAATAATGGTCAACTTGATGTTCTTCTAGTTGAACACGCCTACATTCAAAACTTCGTGATCAGCTCAAAAAGATGTTTATCAAGTGGGTGTGATTCGAGGAGCCGCACAAGGTTTCTGTTTCTGCTGCCTTGTGCAACGTGTTGCTGATGAGCCATGGATGCACCACGAAGTTGAATGAGCTTTGTCACTTGGTTATGATTCCTCTGCCGCACGAGAACAAGTGGTTTCTTTGCTATCCAGACTTGCGTGATTTCCGTGGCTATCAACATGACGCAGCTTCAGTTATGAAAACCTTGGATGACTATCTCAAACGCATGTTAATGGAAAGTCTGACTTAATCACTGACCCACTGATAGTATGCAAGCATCTTTTATACTTCGGCAGTGTGCGCTTTGGGATCGGCAACACCTTAAGGCCAACACTGCATTCCATTGGCATGGGCAAAAAAACAAAATTAAAAACTCAAAGGTCTCTCCTCGCAGCACGGTAAGCATGTGAACAGCTCGCGCAAACCACCACCTCAGGTGCTGATATCTCGTCCCTCGAGGCCCTGCTGAAAGAAGCCGTGGGGCTCCTGCCACACCAGAATTTCTCATCCTCTCCGGCCAGCAGGTGAATTACCTTTGAGCTTTTATTGATCAAACATTGGTCAGCTTCAATGTCGTCAGCCTCCAAGCGTCTGTACGTGGTCTTCTGACCCAAGCTTGAGTGCTCTCCATTTGACGAGGCCACAGAGGATGCATCCTCTGAATCACTGGAGCTGCTGTCACTGCTGCCTCCATCTCTCTCAAGAGCTGTCTCAAAAGCCAGCTGGAACAAACGACTGACCCTGGTCGCATCTGGGTCAAAGCCTTCTTGCACAAGCCAATCTGGTTGTCCCGTGAGTAGATCATGGCAGACCTGTATTGGGCGTTGACATGATGTCCCAATGCCAATTGCTCATCCGCTGGGGTGCTTTTGGCCGCCCAGCTCAACAAGGTAGCCTTCAATCCATGCACTGTCAGAGATGAGGCTCTGTCACCTCCAACATGGGGCTCCAACAATTCACGAAGCCAACCAGTTGCCTCTGCTGTGGACATGCGGGAGTCTATCCACGTGTGGTCGCTTTCCGACCAAGAATTCAGGAAGTAATTCCAAGATCCAACGTCTGCGGCATAACGTGACTTCATCCAGCTGTCCCCCCATGAGTCCTCAGCTGTAACATGGCCCAGCGCAGTAAATGGCAGAAGCTCCATTTGTTGCTCCTTTCCACGCGATGACTTGTGCTTTGAAGTCATGGCTTCAAGAAGGGTGACAGGTCCTGCTGTTGATATCTCCATTGAAATGACATACATTGAGTCATGCCATCTTGCCGCGGCAGTAAAGCAAAACAGCAAATGTCCAGCAATCAGTCGTCGATGCAATTCTGGGTCATTCAAACATATGTCCTCCAGTGCAGCTATCTCAGCAACCTTAAGCACCTGTGCAGGTTTCCTGAACCTCTTGGTCATGTAGCAAGAATGTGCTGCTCCCGTCACCCTTGGGCTGAGCATGTCTGTCAATGATGACGATGTGAGCCCAATCAAAGCGTCTGCGAATCTCAGGGCCTCAACAAATTGTGAAGGTGTCGTGGGGCCTGCGCCTGAGTCCCTCAAATAACAGATGTAGGCATAGACAACCCTTTCATCTTGTTTGAACGGTGAACCACCTCCACTTGCCTGAAGCCAACATGAAAAACGCCATAATGCATTGCACCTCTTCAAGATTGTTCCTGTGGCCTTCGGTGAGAAAACATCCATGAAAACCTGAGACAACTCTGAGTCTGAGCACAGGGTACCTGCAAAGCTCCTCAAGGACTGTCCAAGGCGAGTGCAATCAAGGTCTAAGAGAACCATTGTTTTAAACCTGGCAAGTGCAACATGTCGAAAGTTGTCTGTCGATGACACTAAACGTGATGACTTGATGCGCTGCACTGTAAGTTCAGTGTGTTGAATCTGCGTGGGCACCGCACTGTCTGTTGAGCTTGCAGTGATGTGGTCAGCAAGTCCGACCAAAGGCAATTGTTGAAATGATTGCAAACGATCCCAAAAGGGTTTCGGCCTAGCAAATAAACTTGCTAATGGTCCCTTCTGCCAAGGCTGTTTCAAGTCCGAAGTCAACTTATGGACGTGTCTTGATGCCAACTCGTCTGCAGTGCGTTTGACTGCTAAGCTCTCAGCCGACAAGGATCCTGGTTTGTTTGCAACAGACTTAGGCTTGGGGTGCAGAAAACGTGGCTCCTGTAAAGGCAAAGCATCGTGACGGTCCAAGGCTTCAAGTGATGAATCCAAAGTGTCAGTGTTGTCAAGATTGCCAAACAAGTTTTCCGTGTCTGGTAACTCAACTTGTTCCCAATTGCCATCTGTACTGGGGTCCACGCTGTCAACATCTTGCAAATCACTGGCAGACACGGCAGCGGCACTGCTAGCCCATCTACCACGAAAACCTTTGTGTTCCACAACCATCCTATTCCCAACTATGATCCCAGCAGCGATGCCTACAGTGATGTGTGTGATTGTGACAACACCACTGATGGCACCCAGGCACTGCACAGCCGTAGCTACAAGTGGGTCCAGTACTACTTGTAGCAGACTGGTCTACCTCTGCTTGACCTGCCTCTGGATCTGAGGTCTGGTCCAATCCGGGTGTGAGAACAATGGGAACGCCAAGTCGGTGTGCAACTTCAGTAAGGATCAAAAACAACAGCGAGATGATGTGATGATTCGTAAGTGCTGCAATCTGTCTCGTGTCCATTGACCCCCTGATGCCGAAAGAAAAATTGGTTGTGGAATAAAGGTTTAAAGAAAGAAAAATTGGTTGTGGAATAAAGGTTTTTTAAACCCTCCACTACCTCACCCTTGATACGAAAAATGCAACACGAATATCAAATGAGATGTTGATCCAAGGGAAGGTTGTGTTGTTTTGTTTTGGTTGTGTGAGTTGTCCATTTAAAATTGTTATTCAGAAAAACACGTGCTGCGCAAGATGTAACCCTTATAAATTGTTTTGTCCTGAGTTGCAAAATTTGTTGTTAAAAAAATTTTGCGCTGTTCTTACAAAGATTGTGCTCTCACTCCGTGACAGCACTCATTCCTGTGATGTCACTCCAAAATGGATACCATGGCAGGGAAAAACTGTACAGCCATGAAAGGTGTGAATCGATTTGAATCTTGCCTTGAACATCCAATTTTATGGCTTGAGAAGTTATTGAAGTAAAGTTTTAATTCATCCAAACTGTGCAGAAATTTTGTGCATTGAAGTTCATTTGGATAGGTTAATGCATAATATGCGTCAAAGCTTTGGTGTGTTCAATGGGTGCGATGCCTGCCAAGTTTGTCATAGACAGGTATGCCTCCCGGCAAGCAAATTTGAAAAAAGAAAGACATGACCTATGCGTCAATGCGAGTCATCCAGAAGTTCAGGTCCAGCGCCAATACCAGCCACGCTGTTGGTTCCAGTACCATGTGTAGCGGTAGCCTTGAACCCAGTAGGAATCTCCTTCGTAGTCACCATAGGCCACACCTCCCAGTGGGCTTCTGCCTTGCTTGCCCTTTCCCTTCTGCTGTCCCTTCCCCTTTGTTTGTCCTCCACCTTTGTAGTGGCCTTTTCCACCCTGGCCTTGACCGTAAGGACCTGCGCGAGCAGGCTTCCCAAGGTTTGGCTCGAACTGCTCGTGATGGGGTCGTTCATGTTCAGGTCGACTAACGGTTCCAGTCGCATGGGGTAGACTGACCTCCCGGTCGTCGCCTGTGGTCTCAGACTCTTTGTGCGTCTGTTGGGAGGCAAAGTTCGACCACTGCAGCTTGCTGAACTCCACCAATTCCTTTGCAATCTCTTTGGCATCGGCTGCATCTGGCACGAAGTCACGGTTGCCCCAGCCATAAACAATGGGTAGGGGTCTTTGCTTCGGCTTGATGAACTTCGCCACGTAGACTGCGAATTGGCCAATGTCGAGGAAGACGCCCCGATGTGACACAAACACCTCGGTATGAAGATCCAAGGGTTGGTCGGGCTCCCGCTCCGACGATGGCACGAAGATCAATTTGGTGGCCATCTCCAGCTTTTCTCCAAGGACCTGCGCCTTGGTGCGCTCAATGGTCGGGCTCACACAGCCAGCCAGACGCTCAATGAAGAGCAATGCCTCCGGCACCAAGTTTTGATTCGCCGCATTGAACTGAAAGAACGGGTCGCGGACGAGTCTGTCAACAAGGTCTTTGAAGCCCCTTTTCTTGAAAGATCTGACATAGTTGCGGGCCATATCTCTCAAGTTGCCATAGGTGCTTCTGGTCCGGACGGCGGTCGGAGAAGATGAAGATCCCTTCTCTGGCTGCCTGGCGACTCTGCCTCTTCGAGGGTGATTGAAAATCACTTTGTCCATGGAGAAGGGCACTCCTCTGGAGCGGGCCATCGCCTCCCGGCGGGCAACCTCAGTGGCGATGTTGGCATCTGTCACGGGTTCCATTTGCCTGAAACACCGCGGACATTTCAAATGCCCGTCCATCATGAGGTATCCGCATATCGGGTGCCTGCAACGCACCTGAGGCGAGTCCTGGATCTGGTTGTAGGAGATGTCCTTGAATTGCAACTCAAATCCATGTCGGCCCTGGCCTTGGCTCCAGTTTCCACCAGCGGGGCCGTTCCGTCCACGACGCTGAAATCCACACGCATCTGTGCTCGTCATGGCGGCCATCTTTGCAACGGTGTAACCGGGCACCAGCTGTGAACCTGATGCCGGCTCACCCTCCCGGGTGGCGGTGCTTTTCTCCACCTCGATGTCTTCTCGCCTGGAAAAGGGGAGGAGCTTGCCGAACTCAATGCGCTGCTTGATGCCTTCAAAGTTCACCTGAGCATTCTCCATCAGCATGTCCATGCGGCTGAGGAGGATGTCATTGGGATCAAACTCGGCCTTCGCCTGTTTCAGGACCTCTTGATAGGCTTTCCTGTGGTTGACGTAGGCTCGGTTGATGTAAAAGAATTCGCCGGATCTCGTATCAAATGCGTTGATCATGGGGAGGTTCGAGATCCAATCTGGCGAGAGGATGGCCTCATCAGTTGCGAAGAGCTTGTAGCCCATTTGCATCATGAGCTCCATGTCAAACGCGATGGCGATTGGCCTCCCGGCCCGCGTGCCTTGCAACTTTTTCATTTCCGCTTTCCAGGGCGGTGTTGAGTTGAAAAAGTTGTGGGCTCTGCCGGTTTTGTATGGGAAGCCGCCAGGGATGAGGCCAAACTTGATGATGGAGTTGAAGGCAGCTTGATCACAGGTGTGATACACCACTCTGGGGAACTTGTGCCACACAGGCGAGCCTTCCGGCATCGCGGAGAAGGCGGGGTGAACCGATGGGTCGTCAACCTTGGTCTCGTCAAAGTTCTCATCGAATGTGAACATCGTTTTGATCATGGTCGACATCCCCCCTTGCTCCACGAGAAAGGCCCGATGGCCCTGAATGGCCCTGATCCTCACTGGCGTCCACCTGAGCTTTCCGGACGACATGCCATTCACCTGGACTCTGAAGCGGCGCATCGGTGAGTTGCGCACAACCATCAAAACTTCTTCTTCTCGGAGATGCGCAAAATCTCCTTGGAGATGTCTCACCAACGCCTTGAAGTCCATAGACAAATCAGTCCTCCGAATCTCTGGTGAAGGCCTACTGTGAAACAAGCGGTGGCCACGGAGGTAGTCGGACATAGCTTGGGAAATCGAGCTAAGCCTCCCGTAGCCCACCTTCCGCCCAGGAACTCCTGCCATGTTGTCCGGCTCAATCCACACCAGATCCTGCGCTGAGGCAAACTTTGACGTGTCGAACTGCTCAGTGCTTGGGCCATGTCCCTCATCGACAACCTTCAATCTTTTGGGCATGGCCTTCTTCGCCGCTTTGGACTTCGGCTTGAGCTTGGTGGCCGGGTCAGGAGGCGTGGCTCCCGCCGACGCTGCTGCTGTGGTGTCAGTTCGCCATGTCTTTGCCGATGATGTGCTCTGGGCCATTTCGGTCTTCCACGTCTTTGCCGATGATGAGCTCTGGACCATCTTGTTGCCCTGATCATCAACCTCCATGGGCTCCGGGTCCCCCCGTGCATCAGACTTCTCGGCCTGCATAGAAGAGACCTTGTTGATCACGGCCATGTCATCATCGTCATCATCGTCAATTGCCTCGACCTGTCCCTCTTCGACGTCGTGGAACTCCTCTTCCTCAACAACCTCCAGCAATGCAATTGTCTCGAGGTCGTCAAGGTCAAGATCCTTCTCTTCTTCATGAACTGGATCACTGGCCACGACTCCCGGCGGGCGTTTGTCATCCTCGATGAGGTCCCAGCCCTTGAACTCCTCCTCTTCATCCTCGGCCGCATAGGTAGCATCTTGCCACTCTTGATCATGCTCTTCGGAGAGGCCTTGTCGCCTTGCCTGAATTCGGTCTTCCATGGTGAGAGCCTGGACCTTGACAGCCTCATCGTCTGAATCAGCGTTGTCGTGATGCATTGGTTCCAATGCCTGGTCTTCTTCAGGAATGTCTCTCATCCAGGACTCGACCTCCCCGGGCACCCAGTTGAAGATCTCGATGTCTGCATCAAGCATGATCTTCTCAGGGTCAGGCCGTTGAGGAAGATCTTGTGGTGAGGAGACATTCGAATCGATTTCAAGCTGGTACGCGGCCTTCAGGATGGTGAGGTTCGGGTAGTTCTTCTGCTCCTGGAGGTCCTCGATTCTCGGAAGGGTCCTCAAATGATCGTCGACGCTGATGAGCTTGAGGTAGGAGAGGTGGCAATCAGCGACGGCTTGGAGGAAGTTGGTGACATACTTCCGATTGATGGCGTCATCTTCAAGATGAATCTTGTCGTACCTCACAGTTCGAGCAAGCATCAGGGTTGTGTCGAGGGTTTGGATATCATGGTCCTCGCGCAGTGCTTTGATGTGGACACGCATGGTCTCGTTGTAGGCCGCCGGAAGTGCGAAGATGTCCGCATCGGCGTTCCCCACAACCACGATGTCCAGGATTCGGGGTTCATCACGTTTGAGCTGGCCCAATTCATTCACAGACCGTTCAACTCTGGCCTTTTGCCGCTCACACCAGTTGGCCGTGACCTCCCGGTCGGCAGCAGATTTGTTGTAGGCAGCCCTGTGAATCCAATGGACACCTCTGTAACCCCCTTCGCCAAACACATCATTTCCTGCCCACCCAACGATGACCAACACCGGGAGAACCGGGCGACCGTGGGCACGATTGGTGGACTCGATGTCATCGATGGCCTCGCGGATGTACTGGACGATATGATTCAATCCCTTGCCCCACAACATTTTGGTATATATGCCACGGATGCCTCCCCAGGGTTTGAGAAGATCGCCTCCGGAAAAACACGAAGCCTTTCCTGCATTGGGGTCAGGTACCAGACAGCAGGTCGACCTCGCCTCCCGGCGGGTAAGGGCACATTGCCAAAAAGCCATCGGGGGTATTCTTGAAGACCTCAGCCAACGTGTCGTACGCCCCCTCCGCGTTGCCACCACCAAGCATAGGCTCGACGATGTTCGCCAAAGGGAGTCGGCAGCCCTCCATCTCTCGTAGAAGCACTTGGGGGTCGTCCCAGGTCGCCACCGCGATGGCTCCCTTCAGGGTATTGACCACACCTTCCCACTGAGTGATTCGTTCAAGGATGGCGGGCCTCCCGGCAACCGCGCAGGCCTTAGCCATTTGGATTGCACGAGTCAACATGACGACAACGGGCGAGCGAAAGGGCGCGATGAGTGCACAGCAAGTTAGCTTGAGAGCGGGATGCTGACGGGTAAGAGCTTTATGTATGGCGTCTGTCATGCGGAAAGTGTACTCTTCCGTTTTCTTGAGAGCAATACCTCTGCCTGGGGCATGACGCCTATTGCATGTGCATTGGAACTTCGACAGTGCTCTACCAACTCCAGCATGATTTGTGGCCACGGTTTCTTCAATGGGTCATTGTCAGAGTCTTGATTCACCATTCCAAGAGCACATCCGTCAAAATGGTATGCAATCATCTCATACAAACTCAACAGCTTTGCAACTTTAGCCAGTTTCCAATACCTACATTTCCGTGGCCATTCAAGTGCAATGTGTACTTCACAGTTCAACATCCGAATTAAGGAATGACTTCAAGGCAATCCAAAGTCTGTCAAACTCTCTGACATGTTTCAATACCTTTTCACGTGCACTGGGGTTTTTCATGTTGATATATGTCCATGGTGTACCCCCCGTGCACGGTAGGCTGATCCATATAAATGGTTTCACATCACCTTTGAAAGAGTTGACATGCTCTGCAATCCTCATTTGGTTTTCAACTTCGTTAAGATCAAATTCTTCTGTGAACTGCAGTACTTCACACCCTTCAGACCACTTTCGATTGGTTTGGCTGAGCTTGGATTCCGGATGACAGCACACTTCAACGATCAGTCTCTTGGCATCAGACTTGGCAGCGGGTCCCCCCGTGCTTGGCGCAGCAATACTTGGAGGTGTGATGGCCTCCGTAGCCGATGCCAAAGCTTTCTGTGGGGTTGCTTTCTTGGTGGGGGTTAATGCAAGAAGTTTGACAGCTAGTCTCCATTTTTCTGCACTAACAAATGGTTTAGTGAGAATGTCGGCAGCTTGAAGCATGCTTGGACCATGAACTAGTTTGTACCATCTTCTTTTGAATTGTTCTTCCAACCAAGATAGATTAACTCGCTGTGTTTTATCTGTGTGTCGGAAAGTGGGTGATTTTCCGTTCTCAAGAATTCTAATGGTAGCCTGGTTGTCTTCTACAAATACACCTTTTATCGACCGCGGGGAAAACATGGAAATCATGCACTCTCCCTCTTTCTCACGTCCTACGAACTCGTAGTCAGTGATGGCTTCACGGATTTCGACAGATTCGATGTTGTAGTCGGACTCATAGGGACCATAAACCTTGAAGAAAGTCTTGCCGGTCCACTCCCCATTGATCGGGTAGTCAACTTTGACCTTCCAATTGTCCTGCATGAAGTCAACCGTTCCGTCCTTTAGCATCACGGTGGTTCGAGCACATCCGATACGCTTAAGGTTAATGGGTGACTTGGGCATGTCAATGGGTGTGAACAAATGTGACCTTGGCTTTGTATGGACTCGGATAAGCAATCTTCTACTTCTCATGAATTGCCAGTATTCCCCATTGGATTCTTTTTGGGTTTCGATGTCATGCCTTGGCAAACCTCCCGGAATGCTGTCTTTTCCTACTGTCTCCCCCCCCGCGTTCTGGAGGTATGCCCACAAACCGGAGGAAGGTAGACCGACAGCTCTGAGGGACACGTTTGCACTTACTACTTCACTTTCGGTGCTTGACATTGCAACGGCAGTTTGTTTCTTGCTGAATGCTGTAAGCGGGAAGTACGTGTTGGGCCCAACAAGAACTAACAAACAACCACTGGTGGATCGATTGTCATATTCTCCTGCATGATCTGCGTCTGCAAATAGCCAAAGCCTACATTCACTCACCTTGTCCCCTATGAAAGCTCTTTGCTTATGACATAAAGTTGAGAACAAACCAAAACACGCGTGAAAAGGAATCGCTATAAACCGTTGTTTCAAACACGCGACTACAAATCTAAAACGTAAGTGAGGCTATCGCCACGGTAAGAATAAAACAACATATATACAGTGAATATAAAACATATATATATATATTCACAGCTGAGGTGCAACGAATCAAACTCGGTCAATGTTTTCCCAGCGCACGGCTGAACGATTGGGGATGTTCAACTGAACTTCTGAAAGTTTTCCTGTTGGAAACTTTTTGCACAACTTTCTGAGTCTTTTCAATCCCTCGATCGAAAAGAAAAGCACTTTGCTTTTTCAAGGCACAAGTTGCCTTTCAAGCACTCCGCTTCTGAACTTTGAAGTTTGCTCCACAAACTACAACTTTGTTTTTCCCTTCCCTTTTGGAAATTTTTGGGTTTTGGGTGGGAGGGACAAAAATTGGAAAAAGGATTTGAATCCCTCCGCACCCGCCCTTGACTTGTAAAATTCCGCGAGTAACATTGATTGAACTTCATCAATTTGGTTTGTGTTTTTATTGCAAACAACGTTTGGAGAAACGACCTGAAACCTTGAACTTGACAAACGAAGTTTCACATATGAAACTAAAACGACACATGCATTAAAGAAACGGATGAAAGCCAAGCACTTCGCTTGAAACATTCGGTTCACTTCATCAGATTCTTTTTTTAAAAAAATACAATTTTGTCGAAACAAATAAAAGTGTTTTGGTTTGCAAGAAAGTTGTCAAACAACTTTCAAACGGTTTCAACTTTGTTGTCATAATTCATCATGAGTTTTCAACGTAACTCAAGTATTGCTTATGACATAAAGTTGAGAACAAACCAAAACACGCGTGAAAAGGAATCGCTATAAACCGTTGTTTCAAACACGCGACTACAAATCTAAAACGTAAGTGAGGCTATCGCCACGGTAAGAATAAAACAACATATATACAGTGAATATAAAACATATATATATATATATTCACAGCTGAGGTGCAACGAATCAAACTCGGTCAATGTTTTCCCAGCGCACGGCTGAACGATTGGGGATGTTCAACTGAACTTCTGAAAGTTTTCCTGTTGGAAACTTTTTGCACAACTTTCTGAGTCTTTTCAATCCCTCGATCGAAAAGAAAAGCACTTTGCTTTTTCAAGGCACAAGTTGCCTTTCAAGCACTCCGCTTCTGAACTTTGAAGTTTGCTCCACAAACTACAACTTTGTTTTTCCCCATTTCCTTCAGCCATGCTTTTCGTCTTGCAAAACGGTATGGAGTTTCTTGGAATCAAACGGGCAAGTTGCTTCTACAAAGACATAGTCTGGCAAAATCTCGCGCAACTCTTTCCACTTGCCTCTGGAAGGAAGATCCGAGATGTTTGACTGAGAAGGGACCCTGCAGAACCAAGGCAAAAACGGCTTGGCGCAGTCCAGCCTTTCAAGCAGGATCAAAAGAGACTTCATCGTATCTTCCGAACTGTATCCTTTGATAAGCGCGTCAACATCGCCTTGGTTATCAATGAAGCACACGCATTTGCAGTTGTCTAACCGGTCTTTCCATACATGTCGTGCCACACATACTGCGTACAACTCAGTCAAAGCAACAGGGTGTTTCTTTCCAGCTCTCTTCCACGACTTTGCAACTTCGGAACTAACATGCGCCCCAAAAGCTTCTACACGGCCTCCATCTCTTGGGTCAAACAAAACTCCGCCTACAGTGCATGAAATGTCATCGCCAGCAGGTTCACACGCACCATCTGTAAACAAAATTAAAGGCATGGAAGCGCTTTCAACCTTTAAAGACCTTGGCTCAGCTTTCTGGTACCTCAAAAGCAAATTCTTTAGAGCATCCATTTGTGCATCTGAGAGCACAACACTTTGCAACTTACTCCGCTCCATGACTCTCAGTTCAGACAAAGCCAGCCGTCCTTCTCTTCCCATAAATTGACTTTCCACAGACAAAGCTCTTCCAAAAAGTGACGGCAGGTCTTTCGTGACAACCCTGCCAGAAGCGATGATATGTTGCACGGTGGACTTCAACTCGTCCATCCTGCTGGGCTTGTTCGCAACCTTGATTGTCCCAGTACTCGCATGCTGTAGGTCGAGCATGACTCCAAGCATTTCTGCAGTTTCTGCAAAAGGGAGTTCCTTGTCCAGTGAACACTCGAACCCAAGCATCGACGTCAACGCCCTGATTGCGGCTGACGAATGGTCTGCAAGAACTTTGAAATCCACCACAGGAAAATCGTCATAATAATTTGTCCACGCTACGTCCAGTTGCAATCCCAACATATGTAGGAGTCTTGAGATCCTGTTGAAATGTAAAACAGATGCCACACTTCCAAATGGAAGTGTTTTTGAAACGAACCCCATCACCGTCCCGTTGCTCGGCTTCTTGAGGATTAGGGTTGAATACCTGCGGCGTTCGGGACATATGGGAAATTGTTTGTACGCAGATTTCAAGTCCACAGTTTTTGCAACCAACTGGATTGCACCTTCTGGCATCTGCTTCCATTCGGGATTAACGCTCCCACACAGTTTTTCGCCAGAGGCCAGCGTGAAGTCAAAACGATTCTCAGACACACAGTACCTGACGAAGCAGCACGCCATCCACACAATCTCATCCAATGCCTTCAAGTCAACCTTTTCCAGATAAGAGAAGGTTGAGTTGACACCACGCTCTGAAAAATCGTCTATGGCCCTCCACTTCGAATGCTGCCACACTGCAAAGCGGCGTACCGGCAACCAATTGTCCTCAAACAGTACATCCAATTCGCACTTGGAGTAGGGACCATCCAACCAGTGTTTTTGTTTCATCTCTTGCATGGTTGCTTCCCACAACTCTTCTTCGTAGTCCATTTTGGGAGAAGCTTGGACCTTGCCCCAAAGTGCCGGTTTCAGAAATTTCAGCTGCTTGACGAGTTCCTCTTCTGTAAGAGACCTTGGTTTTATATCTGCAGTAAAAACTCCCGACGGTTCTTGCAACCCTATGAGTTTGAAGCCTTGCCTGATTTCTTGATGTATGCTCTTGTCGGGCCAGTCGAAGTCAGTCGCAAGCTTCTCCAGCAGAGCCAAGTGTTTGCCCTTTAAAACCAGGGCGCAGCCAGAGTCCATGTTGGAGAAAATTTGGTGGTTTGCTTCTGCCAGTGAATCTGCTAGGTCCCTCCACGTCTTAATTGTCTCAAGCCGCAACTTCATAGTTTCGAGAGGCGATCTGCCTAGGATCCTGCAAACCACTTTCAGCAATGAATCAGGTACAGCCCTGAACGAATCAAAGGGGTGTATGACATTTGTTGCCAATTTGAAAAAGTCCTGCATTGTCCTGTATATGCCAAAAACTCGTATGACAAATTGGTCTTCATCTCCAGCATTCCCCCTTTTTGCTTTAGCACATCGTAAAAGTTTGCTGCCTGCTGGAACGCCTGCAAATGGTTCAAGCAAAGTACGCTTGTCTGAAAGCAGTGGTTCATCCTGAGAAGCGGTTCGAACCGTCTTCACTTGGGCATACTCAGGCACAAGAGGGGCAATTTTTCTGCCCCGTGGTTGTTTGTGTGTGGCAACCCTTGCATCCAATAGGGCTGTCTTGTCATACAGGCCGTCAGTAACCTGCAGGTCAGCGATGCCAGCCAAGTCTGCTAGCACATTTGCAAAACGCTCACAAAAGGTCTTCGGATACGCAGCCTCTTTGCTAGTGTCAAATACAACATGTCCATTTTCATTCTTGTGAGACCACGGCAAGTGTTCGTGATCTCCTTGACAGTAGCCAGCGAGCACTCTAAATTGCGCTCGATTGGTGAGCAGTGCAGTAAGCTTTTTCCGTTCGCTACCATGAATGCATGAATGAAAGAGTATAAAAATAGCCGCCGCTATTAACATTTTGTAATCCTCAATGCTCCAAAGGTAGCTGCGTCCAGGGTTCTCAATGCTCCATCCAATCTGAAGAAAATTCAACCAGAAACAAAAGGCTGCAAGGTGGATATAAATCGAATTTGCAGATTCGACTTTGTCTTTCCAAAAACCAGTTAGCCACGGAAATCCCAAGGGGTACTCTTCTGAACGCAGTGGTGGAGGCCCATGTTGATCGTCCGCAAGAGGGACATCTCTCGCTCTCGAAGCTGTGCCGCATGGTGGAGCGGCATGAAAGTGAAAAGGTCGACGCGACCGTGCCAGATGCTCTAAGAAACTCCATGTAGATCGTTTTCGCAAATCTAATTCCACAACATGCACAAAAGGTCGATGCTTGTTGCCATGAAAATCAATTGCTAACACATCGAAGCCTGACCTGGCAACACACGAACTTAGTAATGCACTGCCACAACAAGCTTCAATGAAAAGAAAAGGTTCTTTCAAGCACCTCTCCGGTTTTTCTCCAATTGCCACTTCGGGAATTGAAGTTGGTACGTCACCTTCGTGACTTGAACTTGTAGGTGATTCTGCGGTTTGCAGCTCACCTTCATGACTTTCCTTGCACTCTTGGTCATGTAGTCAAGAGCCCGATGACTTAGTGGGGCAATTGACATAGGCATGGTGTTTGCCACACTTTGGCAATGCACATACATGGTATCCTCTATCACAACGTCCAGCATTGACCTTGTTTGTACATGTCCCCAAGTTGAAACCGTAACAGATTGCATCTCTTGCATTTGTGGTGGCTCTGCAGCCTCCATTGAGAAGCACCAAAGGTATCTTTGGAGATCCCTTGTTCTTTCCCTGCATCTTGCCTTTGCCTTTGCTTTTTCCAGGGTTTTGCGGCTTATATGGACTAGGCCTGTTTGGGGCAGGCTTCTCTTCGCTTTTGTATTCCGTACTCTTACCCATCAACGGTTGGAGCAGATGAACCACCTCTGGTTTGTTCATGCAATCTTCAAAGACTAGGTCTAGCGGCCTACCGTTGACTGTGGCCTGAACACCGTGCCTTGTGGCGTTGGCAAGCTCTTCAAAGAGCTTTTTGTCGGCTTCGAGCACCTGGCGAAATGAAGTCCTTGTGTAACCTGCAGGAGGTGCTTGCAATCTCACTTTGAGCACACGGTCAACCCATAATTGGTGGGTCTTGAACTCCAACAGATTAGCCTGGTCCATGCTCAAGCCCCTACGCTGGAGTGCGTACTGAAGCAAAATCTCGGTTGAGGTATCTGCTACGGGGTCTGGCTTTTTCCCTTCAACTTTAAGCTTGCCACTGAAATCCACTGCAAACAAATGTTCTGTGCGAACTTCTTTGTCAATCTCTGCTTCTTTTGCTGTATACTTTTCCCAAGGCACAAATCGAAGCCTGTTTGCTTCGTACATCGCACAAAACAAATCAACAAGTCCATCACTTGGTTCCAGGGGCCCACGCAATGTCAAGCCTGTGATGCGCTTGACCTGCCTTTCATAAAGGTCCGCACGCTCTGGCTGCGTCAACTTACGTGTCTGGACATCTTCACTCCTTTCCAGTTGTTGTTTCATTTCTTGTGTGACAAGTGAATAGGATTCATGCAAAAGCTTCCGAAATGATGCCAACTCTCCCAGCGTAGGGTCCCTGCCAAGGACTGTTTTAACAGTCTTCACAAACTCTGCATCATCGCCGGCACCAGGCACGTATGAACTTGCAAATGCAAACTTTGAAAGAGTGTTGAGTCCAGCGCCATCCAAACTTGCACGGATCTCTTCACTCAATCCTGCTGCTGCTGCCCTGTCTCTGAAAACTGGCAAGCTGTCAGCAAATGACATGGTGACGGACAGGGCGAGGTTATTTCAAACTTGATGTCTAAGACATGCATGAAATAACATGAAAAACCTGTATCTCTTGGAACAAACTTCAAGACCTTTGAAAAATTGGGCTGAATCACGCAATGGACATCTTGCAAACGTTCTCACAAGCTTTCTGAGTGTGACGCTTGGAGCCAACACTGTCCATTCAAGAAATCCCTTCCAGGCACTCAGCTGTTTAAACTTATTTCCAACTCCACAACGTATACACACACGACACACACCGCGAGAGGGTTAATACGTATATCGCAACATGTTACATATATGTATCACCCAATACCAACATGTGTGTTCAAACGGATGTCGCACCACATGTTGTACGCGAAATCGAATCGTAAAGATTGCAGCTCTCAAAAATAAAACAACGTGTCAAAATCAACATTGCAAAACGCCGCAAATTCGTTTCACAAAAACATGGAGGTTTCCGGAAGCAGTCATCTCAATCCTTTTTGACATCGCAGATGGGGGCAAGGTCCTCGCCTATCCGGCTCCTAGGCTTAGGGATAGGCTTAAACAACAAGACGGGTGGGAGACACAAAGTGTGGGTGGGACAAGTCTTTGTTGTCAAAATTTTGGACAGGCCCGCCCTCCCTACCCTTGAGTGGAAAACTCGTAAGAGTAAACAATCAACGTGTGTGTCAACGTGTGTGTGTGTGTTGGTTTTGTGTTGTTTGTTCTGTTTTAAACAAGAAACAAAACAAAGTACAAACACAAAACCACGAGTTGCGTGAGGAAATAAAATCGAGTTTCTTTTCAAGAAGCTCTCAACTTATTTCCAACTCCACAACGTATACACACACGACACACACCGCGAGAGGGTTAATACGTATATCGCAACATGTTACATATATGTTTCACCCAATACCAACATGTGTGTTCAAACGGATGTCGCACCACATGTTGTACGCGAAATCGAATCGTAAAAATTGCAGCTCTCAAAAATAAAACAACGTGTCAAAATCAACATTGCAAAACGCCGCAAATTCGTTTCACAAAAACATGGAGGTTTCCGGAAGCAGTCATCTCAATCCTTTTTGACATCGCAGATGGGGGCAAGGTCCTCGCCTATCCGGCTCCACCCCACCTATCTTTAGGTGAGACCGCAGCCGCTCCCAGTCTAAGACGGTTTGGCTGATGTTTCTCTCCCTAACTAGGCTGTATCAAGTCTGCTTGCACTGTCTGAAGGATTGCTATGACTGGGACGTCTTCCGGACCATGTGCGGTGCTGCATTTCTGGTTTCAGGCAAACAAATTCGTATGCAAGGCGGCATGCGAAGGTGGTTTCACCATTCCCTTTCACAAAGGCTATCCTGGCCGACTCGTTTTCTATATAGTAGACCACGAGAGCCCCCTTGAAGAGGGTACCCCACAAAAGACAAGCAGTTAAAACTGGAAGGATCTCGGGTTCTTGGGTTGGATTCCGAGAGGATTCGAAAAACTCTTCCATCACGTCTCCCGGGACTGGAGACTGAAATAGCTGACACAAACGTCACATGGGGAAATGCTTAAACCACCTATGCTGCCTCGTCCAAGCTCCGGGCTGCAAGCTCTATCTGTAAAGTTATCCATGTGTCAGCAAGTGGCTCTCCAACCCCTGATTGGAGGAGAGCTCAGGACTCGGTCTCGCAAGCAGGAGGCTGCTCTTGATTGAATCATCCAAGCGCTTTCGGCCCCCTTCTTCAATGCAGAATCTTCCAAGATTCTTCACAGCTTCGTTGGCAGTGCGGCCGAAGGTGAACCCTCGAGAATATCATGCGTCCTCTAAGTATCTCGGCCTCCTTGGCGTCTAACTAGTCCTCGGCGAGGATGTCATTGATTTTGAAAGTAATTCACTTCTGCGTTCCTCGGTGTGTCCAATCACAATCTCTTTGCCTTCGCTTCCAATGAGGTTTATTTCCAACCCCAACATTCCGAACTTCTTGTCAAACGGCTGAAACTTTTTCCATCCTTTGCAAAATCAAGACCCACCAGAATGAAGAGCGATTCCACTGACCAAGAGGTGTTCTCCAATAACTCAGTTTTGCTCAGCACACTGCAGTCATCGTAGAAAACAGTCCAACAGATGCTAAGTGCCACTAGTCCTACGAACCACACTGTAAGGCTTGCACGCAGGAGGCTCGAAACACTACCTACTGCACCAAAAGGGAGTTCGTTGAAACCAGGCACCTTTAAAGTCTCGTCCTGCGACGATCTAACAGCCATGCGAAGGTGGTCCCTGTCTGTTGCGTGGACAGCAAAAGCTTGTGATCGTTTTTCAAATCATAGCGTTGTCCCAATATGTTTGGGAACTTTGACCAGGAAACGCTTTGAAAACCCCTGTCACAATGAGGGCCAAAAATGTCGATGGACTGCAGTTGGAATTTCTCACGCAAAGAGCACCGTCCAGTTAAGACCGCAGCACGGGCAAGACATCTATGACCCGCGCTTTGTACGATTGTCGTATGCCAAAACGTTTTCCAATAAACTTGTGATCGGGGGGACTCCCCCTCGTTGTCAAACCAAAACCCAACCCTTTCGCACCTCTTCCTCGGTTTCCCCCAAGCTGCAGCTTCAATATCAGGCTCTTGCCTGACACTCATGTTCCCGTAGGTGGTGGCATTCAAGGCTTTGGGGAGGGTCTCTAAGGTCTCCATGGACGTGGCCAGCCTGTCATCATGAGGCTTGAAAACGTGGAATCGAGGCATCCAACCGTTGAGCTTGAAAACACTTGCATGTCATCGATGAGTGACTTGTCAGGATAGTCCAAGTCGTCAAAAAAAAAGGCCACACGTTTCGCAGCAGGTGTCGCAGGTTCTTCCACAAGTTTTCTTTGATCCTAGACACGATTTGTGGGTCCACAAATTTATCAAGGCTTCTGGGATGCCCTGCAGCTATGGCTCTTTCTATAAAGGCATCCGGGTCACTGGGGATTTCCACACTGACACTGACCTTTTCAACTACTGCATTGGTTGTAACCTGTAAAACGACTGCAGTGTCGCTGTTAGAATGCATCGACTGAAAATCCCCCCATGTAATAACGTGTCGTGCAACCACTCTTGCTCCCTTTGGAAGGGTGTTTCTGTACTTGTCCAAGTCGGATGGGCGTTTTGGGTTTGTAAAGACCAAAACATATGTGCCGTATTCAGCTACCAGAGGTTTGACCTTGTGGCCACGTGGCAAGGCTCCCAGCACCAGTCTGGACAATTTTGTTGCCTCCGAGGTTGCAGCTTGTTCCGCTATTGTGTCTGGAGGAGAAGCCCCAAACTCGATTGCCTTGTCATGTGGGCAGTGCACAATGCGCTCACACAGCAACGCTGAATATGCAGCTTCTTCTGCAGTAGCAAATCGTATAGTTCCATTGTATCCCTTGGTTGTCCAAGGCTTGTGTGCATGCTGACGGTTGCACAAAATAGCCAGTGAGTCCAACCAGTTGTCGTTGGCCCACAAAGAAGTTGATTTGTCTCGATCGCTCCCATGAGCGCAGTTGTGAAACGTAACATAGTGGTGTGCTTGCTCTTTGCTCAGCTTCTCCAATGGGCTGGTTTTCCAATAGTGAGAGTTGGTGGGGTTCTCAATGCCCACAAAGATGTTCAATGTACAAGCCAGTGATGCCAGGTATAAACCGCATCATATAGCATGTTTGCTTTCTCGACTTTGATTTTTTATCTAACCTTGGTTCACCTCTCTTCCTACACGCGTCGCGCTTGCGCTTTTCAACTTAACAAATCAAGTTGAATAAATTAAAATCATATATACATATATATGTACCCTCAAGTAACATATATGTATATAAAAAAACAAACTCAGCTGCACACTCGGATGTGATGCACAATGGATGACTCACTACAGGCAGTTTGAAATTAAGTTTGCTTTTTCTTCTTTCATTAAATTGGGGAGTCGGCACGCTTTCGTGTTTGCGTAAGACACCTTTGTATCTCACGCCTTCCACCCCAATTCATCTTCTCGTGAGATCATAAAGAGGGGAGCAGCGTTTGAAGCCCTTTGCCTCGAGTTCAGAGAATTGTAATCTGGAAGGGTCATCGCTCAAGTTCGATTTCGAAGGCACTCGTGAGTACCAGTGCAAAGCTTGAAGCTCCACGTCCAGCCAAGCGTTTATGACCAACATCTCGTAGTTCTCCAGGACTGGTGAATATGAGCGAATGACCGCTGCAAGAGAAGAGTTGTTGTCAATGAACCAAAGAATCGCTCGGCCACAGAGCAAGTCACGCCAGGTATTCTTGGCAATGATGATGGGGAACAACTCGGCTTGGCAAATGAGTTGCTTCTTACCTTCAGCTCGCCACTTCTCCGTCCAACAGTTAGGCACATAATCGCCAAACATGATAGCGGTGCCATCCTCAGGATCGTAAAGCGTCGCCCCATGAGTGACTGAACGACCTTCATCCTCGCAGGCACCGTCAGTGAAGAGAATCAATGGTAACCTCCCTGACCATGCAGCAACCCTCCTGGGTTTTGCGTTCACTAGGCACGCAAGTGCTTGTCTGATGACTTCTTTAAGGGGCTCCTCCATCAGAACCAAGGGACCTCTTCTTGATACTCTGGAAATAAGTTGAATTGCAAGCTGCGAGCATCGTCCAAATGTGTGTCCCGCCGCATACAGTAATCGTCCTTTCAAAGTTTCCAGCGTGGACAAAGCAACAGTCTCGCTCTCACAAATACTTTGAACCAGTGCCTTCAAGTCATCGATCCTTGACGGTTTGTTGTGTACCGCAATGGACCCGGCCGCTGCTTCAGTCAGGTCAACCACCGCTCCAAGCAAGTTGAACTCTTCTGAAAAAGGTGAACGTTTGTCCTCAGACATCGAGATGCGCCACCCTAGGAGCTTCATCACAAGCTCAGCCGTCTCCCAGGCGGAGTCACAAAGCCCTTCGCACTCAAGCTGGCAAAAATCGTCAAAGAAATTTGTGTTCACCACCATAAAAAGCTCAGAAAGAATCAAACGTAGAGCTTTGGCCATCCTATTGAATGCCATTACAGCACAAACAGATCCAAACGGCAGTGCAATCGATTCGTAGAATTCCACTGAAGAAGTGTCGGCGTTCCACACCGCAAGTATTGATGCCCAGCCATCAGCTGGGTGACGGGCAAGCTGCTTATATGCGCTTTTTAAATCAAGCGCTCGTCCAAGTATCTTTTTCCAAGGGCCACAAAAATCTCTGACACCTTCCGCACACCACAGTTGCTCAAAAGCAGCATCCGTCATCAGAAAATCGCATCCCAAAAAGGTGCGTGCTGTGTTGACCACCTCGTCCAAACCAAAAAGTTGTAATTTCTCCGTCGCCGTCACAGAAGCGTTGATCAGAAATTCGGAAAAGTCATCCACAGCTCTTATTTTATTTCCTTGACGAACTCCAAATCTCTTTGAAGGGATCCAGCACCCAGAGTACTTCAAATCCAGCTCTGAGGAGGTGAACGGGCCTTTCACCCAGCCGTCTTGTAACTGTTGAAGCGTCTCCTCATGAACTGCTTTGGCCACCTCAGGGTCTGACCCAACCCGCCTGCATGAGGCGTGAATCATCTTCTTTGCCCAAACTGCTGAATCCTTGAGTTGTTGTACTGTAATCATCGCAGGTTTGAGGCGTGCAGGAAATTGTTTGGACTCAGGCATCTCACCAGTCAGTCTAAAACCTTCGACCAGCTCTTGAAAAAGATTTTCATCCCCAACATTTGCATCAGCGGCCATCTCCTTGAACAGAAGCAACCGTTTGCCTTCTAACACGCGCCTCACGTCCACATCCAGAGACTGTTTAAGCAAGCTCTCGTCAGAGGCAAGTTGTGCAGCCCTCTGTGTATATTTCTTCAATTGCTTTGCTCTGTAGGCCATGACCTCTGCTTTGGTGTGGTCTCTGATGAAGACTATGGCCTTCAGGTTGCTCTTGTCAACTGTATGTGGGTTATCCAGTGGATGCTCAAGAGCCATGGCGTTCTGCAAAAATTCAAAAGGCGACCTAAAAACACCAAAGGTCGCACAAGACACCTCCTTCTTCTCGCCATTTTTCCCCACTTCTGTCATCACTCGAGAAGAAATCAACTTCGAATGAAGTGGCACTCCTTGAAAAGGTTCATGAACGTTTTCAGAAATTTCAGATGGCACCTCGACATCTGTAGATTTGATGTCAATCTTAAACTTGAAGTCTCCCAGTAACAAGGGTGCCCTTGCGCCTCTCGGTTGCAAACCTGAGCCCATGCGCTGCTCTTGGTCGAGTTGTGCGTTCAGTTGGAGCAACATCTTACCTTGTTGTTGTAACCTGTCAACAAATGCAAGGGCCAGTTGGCGGCACAGACCGCTTGGGTATTCAGTTTCCAAGCTTGTTGAAAATTTGATTTCAGAGCCAGCTGATTGTTCCACCAAGCCCCACGGTAGATGTGTGTGGCTGTCGTCACATTCCAACAGCAGGTTTGCAGCATGAAAATTCATCAAAAATGACGTACGTTTTTCCGTTTGCCACCATACATGCATGAGTGAATATGTTGAAAATGGCAATTGCTTGGCAACAGCATGAAGGGGTCAGTCAACCACATGAGTGACCGGCGGGGGTTCTCACACACAAAAGGAATGCCTCTCTCATTGCAGAGGTCTATAACCCTTCTTGCAAAGGCATACAACTTGTTGGCGGCCAGTACCTTGATTTTTGCCACTCCTCTCAAGGTCGAGAGGCCCATGGGTTCTGCTTCGGACCTTAAAGGTGCCGGCTGCATTCCTTTTCTTAGCCTGTGCCGCTGTGGCACAGGTATCTCCCTTGCCCTTGATGCTGTACCACATGGTGGCGCCAACATCACTGCGTCCACCTTGCCAGCTTCAATCCACTGCAGCACTGTAGATTGCCCGTCTCTTTTTGAAAGGTCAACTTTGGCAACTGGACCTTTAACTCTTCTCTTGTCAATTATGTGGTCGATGCCCAGGCTTTCACCACCCATTGCTCTAAACGCTGCCGCTACTCCAGCCGTCCCACAAAATAAATCCAAAAGAAAAAGTTGCTTTGGATGCGCTGTCGCACCCGTTTCTGCATGTCGATCAACTTCTTGATTTACTGCAGGTTCAAATGTCGTCGATGGCTTTTCATCGACTTCGAAAAGTTGTTCATGCCCTTCGGCACTTGATGTGTCCGTTGCCCAGCGCTTTCGCATTGCAACCAACGAATGTTGTGGGCATCCACTGCCCTCCAAAAGTGCGGCTGGCCCACGCTTTCGTGAGTCTGCCACAGAGCAACCTTCGTTGCTTTTTGACTCCATCTCATGCTGACCTTGACTGCCTGCACCAAGTAGTCAAGCTCCTTTCTTGTGAGCCGTGACAAAGGCGTGCTGTTTGTAACAGCCTTTCTTGCAACAAATGTGACGACCTTTTGGACAGTCGCCTGAACTTGGGCAGGATCCAAGATTGAATCCAAAGCATATCGGCTGCCCTTCTTCGTTGCACGGCACACAACCCACCAATTGTTTTGGCATTGGTGTCCTTTTCAGCTTTTTGATCCTCAGCACCTCCTGCTTGTTCTTGATGGGCTCCGTTCTGTTGCGCTTTGGCTCATCCTCTTTGGAGGTCTTGCCAACGTTGGTGTCGGCTGTTGGGGCTTTTCCAATGGATCGCTTTGGCAGCGGCATCAGCAACCACTTCAGTTCTGGGCCGTCCAAAATGTTCTGGACGTGCAAATCCAAAGGAAGTTCTCCTGCCGGCCCATTTCGGAAACCACCACGTGTGGCCTCAGCAAGCCTCACATGCAACTCACGGTCTGCTGCTGCAACTTGTTGCAAGGTCACTTGTGCAAAACCTTCCATTGGTTCCTTCTTCAACTCAAAAAAGAAATAATTGATGATCCTCTCGTGCACCTCAAACGACATAGCCTGAGCCACCTCATAAGCAACTCCACGTCGCCTCAAGGCGTGATGGACATCAAGCTCGGTGGTGAGGACAGCTGACATAGTGGGCTCCTTGCTAGTAGCTCTGATTGCACCTGAGCTGTCAGCTTTCCAAACTTTCAAGTCTCCATCCTCCTTGATGTTATTCACCTCCTGGGTCCTGGAAGTGCATCTGGACCACTCAATGTATCTGACCCTGCCGTCTTCAACGCATTGCACCAGTGAGTTGATAAGGTGATGTGAAGGTTCCATGAAATTCGCTATGATCAGAGGGCGGATCCTTTCCTGGAGCATCTCGACCCTCTGAGCGATTTCAGGCGCTGGAAGTTTCCTGGGTGCCTCTTGTTCCGTTGCATCCACCTTCCTCCTCATTTCTGCAGCTGTCAATGTATGTGACTCGAAAAACAAACGCCTCAACTTTGGAGCGTCTCGATGGTCAGCATTGCCAAGCAAGGGCACAATGACTCCGTCTGCAAAGATCTGCTCATCTCCACCAGGCGTCGTTGCAACAGAGAAAGCATATGTTGCGTGCGACACCCATCCTCTGAGTCCCATCTGGGCAATGACCTGGTCATCGATACCGATCGATCTGGCCCTTGCTTCGAATACTGCTGCACTGTCCACCAAAGACATGGCTGCGTCTAACACGGTTGATCGTGGGAAAACAAAAATAAACGTGCAGACATTGACATGAAGATTTGGCTCCTCACGCAAATTTGAAGTGACACTCAGAGGTTCTAAAATGGCAACTCTTTGAAAAATCAGTCACACTTTTGCTCACGACTTTCTTTCGACAGCTTTCTGTCCTCTGGAGCCTCTCACGTCCACAAAAAAAACGAAGTTTCATGACCCTCTGGTCACGGCTTGCAATGAAGTGGAGTGAGCAACAACTTGAGTGAAAAAAAGGTTGGATTCAAACTGACATCAAAAAAGAAACTCAAAACTTCGATGGTGACAAGCGATTCTCAAACGTCTGCCCCTTCCTACACGCACCACACATTCCAACGTTTTGCACTGACTTTCAGTCGATCATGTCAGCGCAAGGTCCCAACGCCACTCTTGGCATATCGACCATTGCAGTTGGAAGCACTACACCGCGTGGTATTTCATTCATCATGAAAAGGAAGGCACACAACATTTTGGAATGAGTTTCAGTTGCAAAAATGAAACAACAAAGCAAAGCTCACGACCCACGTCCGTTGCTGCGCCAGGCAACTGGGTAACTGCGTCCCTTCTGTTCCAGGACAAGGCGGGTCACGAACATGCATGGACTTGCAATCATGCAGTGCAGCTTTGAAGTGTCATTCTGAAACGAAACAAGCTTGGCAACTGTACGACCACAGTGACTGTGTTGGGATTCAAAACAATGACAACCTACAACCTACGACATGTAAGCACACTCACGTCTAAGTCCACGACTATTGTGAGACTAACGCACTCAAGCGCAAAGAGGTTCAAACATTCCATGCCGCAGGTGCCCCAGGAAAAGATTGTCATTTGTTTGAAACCGTTCGCAGTTCAAGGTGATTTCACACTCATGCGACATGCTGTCTGAGGTCCCAACTTACGTGCTCTTTAGCGCGTGGTGAACCATGAATGCAAACGTCCGTCACTGTGCATGTGAAGAATGACAAACAAAAATCGAGACAGAAATTGAAATTGATCAGAGACATCTGCATTCAAGACTGAAAAGCTTAGCTCCCAGCAAAACACCTAGAGCATTTGTACGGGAAATAGTTCCCTGCAGATTGAATCTTTTCAAAGTTTCTCGATGCAATCTTGCCGCATTTAAGGACAATGGATTCACCGTCATCCGGGTCACATGCAGCATCTTTTGCAATGTGACAACATCCACTCTGAACATGTCTGAAAACTGCTGAGCTGATGCTAGGTTCCAAGGCTTGTGCAAGCTCTTCGCCAACGATAGGGCCCGCGACCTCTGCATCACGCTCCTCATCTGACGTGACATAGTCCCTACCAAGCACAGGCCTGTCACTAATGTCACTGACCGATGAAAGGGATTCAATCTCAGACTCTTCACCGGGTGCAACTGATGGTGAATAAGGTTCCGACGGTTGCTGAACTAACCCAAAACTGCCATCAGCAAAAGGTTCACAAATTTCATCACTCTGACAAGCATTTTGATCCTGATACCAAAATTCTTCAGCACTGGACTTAGCAAGCCACAACATGACTGACTGCAATGACTTGCAACCCTCACGAGGCCAGCGCCGTGCCCGAGAAACATCGGGATCAAACAACCCATGCTGGATTGCTGCAGTAATGGCTTCAATAGCCAAAAGTACAGGGGCTTGAGCGTCACGACTGTACTCCAAGGCCATCTTCGAACCAGGGTCTGTGTGATATCCGGCAAGGCGTCGTGTGTCGCCATCGCATCCAGCTTTTGCCATCATGCTGAGCCATGTTGCTTTGAGCGAGTGAGTCCCAATGACCGCCATTGATGGCATTGGCTCAAAATTCTTGAGGATCTCCCGCATCCAAGTTGTTGCCTGGCTAGGCTCAAGTGGGACCAAGGCCCAACCCCCTCCTGCCAGAGGTGCCGGCATCGTTGGGACGCCAGGACCAGCCTTCAATCCTTGCGCTGCTCTTCGCTCCAGCCAAATCGATGCCCAGTCCAAACCTGACAGTCCAGGAAGGTTGCAAGCTGCCGGCAGGAGGCGTTTGGCATGCTTCTGTCTGCCAGCGTTCTTGTGGTGGTACAATTGACATTCCAAGAAGCCTTTTTCACGGTGCAAGTCAGTAACAGGCTCATGCTGACAGTACTGACCATCCGTCCAGCGCAGCCTCATGTGAAGCACCATGCACAAGTAGCCAGCAAAAATAGCCTCTGAGTCAGAGCCATCCATTGCCAAACGCTCCAAAAAGCACACCTGGGCAACTGTCAAAGGCGTCTTCTTCTGTGGAATGACCATTGGAACTGTTGCAGCACCTCTCACCCTCGGCGATCTGATAGTGTCACCGACGTCTGCACCCAACATGTGAAAGGCAAATGACACAGCTTCCAAAAACCTTGTTGCCTTGGTTCTTGGGGCATTGTGTTCACGTAGCTCCTTAACGTACATATACGATTGAAGCTCTGTGATTGGAAATATTTTGGCCTCAGCGTCCAGGCCTTTTTTCCACCGTGCAAAGGATAGCAATGAAGAGGACCTTGCACGCAATGTTGCCACTGACTTTCCAGTCAAAGCGTCGCTCACAGATTGCTCGATGGACTTGGCATTGCAGTCACCTCTCAAAGCTTCTTCTATTTCTATCTGCCTGCCAACTACGGACCCTGACAAATTGTCCATCACGATCAGTCTCCAAGATTCAAGAGCTCTGGCTAAAGCTCTATCCTGTGCAATCGGCCATGGTATCAGAGAAGTAGTTCTGGGCCATCTCACCAGCCCTTGTGATTCAGCTACAGGAATAGAAATCTCCGAATCATCAGGTGGAGCCATCGTAACAAACACTGGCGGCTGGATCAAACGGGGTCTTTTTGCAAACACAGGATTGATGGGTTCTCGTTCCCACGGCATCCTAATGTCAGAACGTCGCACTCCCAGTCTGAATGCAGCTGCAGGTAAAACCAGGTCCATGGCAAAAAGGCAACGTAAAAGCCACACTACCCCCATTCAGCCTACGGGTCGTGAGACTTTTTCCCACCCACCCACCCTTGAAACTTAAAATACCATGACGGGAAACTGTAAAACAAACAAAGATCCACAGAAGGATCACACACTGAGTGAAGTTTGTTTTGACAGATTTGTTAACAACATCACAACAGATGTTTGGAAGTACAGAAGTCAACTTATAAACTTCCAGCGCGTAAGACGCAGGGGACGGGAGAGCGTACGCGGAGGAAGGAGAGGACGGTGGCCTACCACCTGTGAACCTGGTTATATAAAGGCTCATCACTAAAGTGAGACGCGGCGTCCACACTTGAAAGGCCATCCATCTAATCTGGCTTCTCCTTTGACCGCCGTGGTATTGGTGTTTTGATGCCCGCTTTTACAAATTCCTTCAAACGTTTCTCCCTTGCCCTACTGCAACCGCCACATGAAGGCGCAATCCAAATGGCCAGTATGCTGTCCCCTGACTCTTCTACGAATTGCAGAAGGTGTGCCAGGTCGTCGGCATCTGTTAAATCGAAAACACAAATAGGAAATCCACAAGTCCTTGCAGTAGAATGGTCAACAGCCATTGTGCGAAACCCGCATTGGCGAGCTGCGCTAGATAACTTGGCAGATCCAGCGCAAATTTCTATTGCAAACAAATCCTCCAAAAACATCCCATTGCAATCTCTATTTGGAGGTGACGTCTCCCGAGTGTGTCCTTTGTCCAGCTCCTCGGCAGCACCATTGAAAACAGTTGGATTGTCACCTCTTGGTGTCTCATCCATTTCCATGTCCATCCAACTTTCTGAGACGGAGGTTGCATGTAAGGCATTTGCGCAAAATGCTGCCTCGTGTTCCTCCTTTTTCCACCTGAGTCCTCAGAAGTATCTTTTCGACATTTCTTTGGAGGCTCGGAGGGGCTGACCTGTCAACCCCTTTTGGCTTCTCTGCACACTACTGCTGAATGCCCAACCTTGTGGCAGCAGGTGCACATGTGCAGGCCACCGGTGCATTCCGGCGGTTTTCCACTGGTGCTAAGTTGGCAGCCGTCCTCAAGTTGTGGTTCCAACAAATTTTACAACCTGGTGGCATGGCCATCCAAGGGGATGACAGTACCCTGCATTTTCAGGCTACCTGTAACTTCTTGTGCTAACAGCGTCCACATCTCGCGGTCGGCACGTACCAACTGGTCGATCTTGATGTTCTGGAAACGTAGCGATGCTTGGCTCTACTTTCAGCTGGGAATTCACGACCTGGACCGACGACTTGCTATCTTTCAAAGACATCTGCACTTCGTCATCCCTTTTGCTGCACTTCGAAGGTGCAATTTTCAAAACCACTCCACTTTCATGGCTCTGATTTGCCAAGTCCAGCAGCATGTGGCTAGGGGAAAGGTGATGCGACCAAGCGCATACCGCTTGAGGAAAAGAAGCAACGTAGGGAAGACCAACTTGCAAGGCTGAGTGGTATCACCATGACAGGTGAATTAGATCAGCTCCATCGCTGGTCACCTTCTCCTTTATTGTGGAGACCACCAACGTTGTGCTTTCAAAGTGAATGCGTCCGATGGCCGACATCTGGCCTACTGTCGGGTTTGCCCCAAACACTCTCTGAGCCAGCAAGTTAAACTGCTCATCCGAAGGGGGCATCTGAGGTGCGCCCATGGAAAAACCATTGTGCTGTGATTTGATCTCCTGTGCATCGAAGGCGGCACGCAGAGATCCATCTAATGTGATCATCATCGCACCTTTGAAAGAATGCAGCAGTCGACTCCACAAGACTCATGGCTGCGCCGCCTATACTATACTGAAAACCCCAGAGCACAACTATGAAATCTTAACACATTCTTGTCACACAGACTGGCACTACTGTGCGCCCGTCGTCTTGTTCAGTTGACACTCCTGTTGGGGTTGTCATTGAAAAGGAAAGATTTACCGAATGATAAACAAATTTAAGTTTGCTTGAAATCTGCCTTGCCGCCTGTTTCCACGCACTCTCTCTTTCGCTGAGCATGACTCAACGGAATTCGAATGCTGGCTCAACAAACGGTTTGGATTTCACTGCACCGACATGGAATGTTTGAAGTGTTCAAATGGAAATCAGCTCACGCTGATAGAGAAGTGATGACTGTCTGACTGAAGATCACATCAGCCGATTTTTCTCACACTGCCGTCGAAGTGATGCAGTTATGAAACTCCGAGTGAATGCAACCCACTCCAAACAGCATGTTGGAAAACAGAAACAAACAAACTCAATCAGATAAGCAAATGGAAGCTTGTCACCGAGCTGCAGACACTCTTCATCCACTTATTGTGGCTGGCGTCTCGTGCAACATGAAGTCTTGAACTTCCATGTCATGCTCACGGTTTCAGTCCAACATCTGTCTCGCAAACTGTCAAGCAGACCCTTGGCATGTTGTTGGAGTGCACTGCAAACAAAAAGGTCCAAACGGGACACTCTGTTAAAATATGGTTAAATTCAATCACTCTCTCGTTCGGCTGAAACAAAAACTGCAAAGCGGCGTAGCAAATTCAGGTGCTACTTCAGTTTCTGATGTAAGGCCCCCGCATTTCTGCCACATGAAAACACTCGTTGGTTTTCAACTAGCATCATGTGGAGGGTTTTCAATTTCCTATGCTGCCACAGGTTAAGTCCTGGTGGAGCTGCTGCAGGTTGGAAACAGGAGGATTCCTAACGACCTTTGGACTTTCTCCTCACTTGAAGTTGATGAAGAAGAATCTGCATCAACGCCGTCCTGTGAGTCTGAGACTTCACGACCTCTGACTCATCCTTCACATGGATGACGTTGGATTCACCTGCAGGTTTGCAACGTGCGATGGTCTCTACAATCCTACCATTTCTCGTCTCGTCCAGTCTGAAATATTCAGTCTTAATCTCTTTGATGAGTTTTCCAAGGACCAGAAGACTTGCTGCAGCTCCGTTTCTGCTGTACACTATGCCCATCTGGAAGTTACTTGTATGGTACTCCGGTTGCAAACGCTCCTGGATACCGATACCCCTCTTTGCTGCGTATGACAAGAAAGTCGACTTCAGTGAATGGATGGAAATACAGCGTCCTGGTTCACCATCTTGGCTCCCGGCAATCTCGCGCAGCCATGCAGCGCATTCCTGTTTTACGAGTGGTCAGCTGGTCACCTCGCCCTGTAACCCTGGAGCAGGCATTACCAATGCCTTCAGGTGGCCATGCAACTCCAAGACTCTTTCTAATTTGAAGCCACGTTGACCCCCAGTCTTCGCCATCTACTCCATGACATGGTTCAACCAGAGGCTAAAAATGGTGTCTTTGAAGCTGTGACTTCGTCGTTTTGTGCCTACCCGTCCTGGCTTCTATGAATTGCAACCTGTTGTCACTGTCATGATCGAGGATCACACTCTCCGATCTCATCAGTTCACTCCATCTTGCACGACAATAGATGCACATGAGCAGGGCCCCACAGAACATCTGTACCTAAACATCGTCACATGAGTAAAGCAATTCATATATGGACTTCAGCTCAACGACTTTCAGTGGTGAGGCTTGCAACCGTTCTCTGAGCACATCTCCAAGGCACGCACCTTTGCAATGCGCACTGGCTGTCAGGGTTGACAACTCTTCCACTGCTATGACATGTTGTACGAAGTTCATGAACTGCATGTAACCCTCAATCCTGGACAGCGGTGCACATCCAAGTTGTTCTGCACAAAGAAAATCATAAAACTCCTTTTCAGTGCAAGGGAACAGCTTGTCATGTTTCTCCAAATAGTCACATAGACGCATCACACTGTATGCACGTTTCTTCACAGTCACTGGAGACCTTCCTGAATATAAGTGTGTAAACATCAAGAAAATCCTGTCGGTTCCCCCCAGCTCCATGGTGGCTTCAACAAGACTGCATGACGGCTCCCAACTATTTGCCACTCCTATCCAAAATTTCACAGAGCTCTGCAAATCGGCATCACTTTGTTCTTGCCATGAAATATTGGGTTTGTCACGCACCACATCATGATATAAAATGCCAGCATGCACAGAGGTTTTGGCCCTTGAGGACGCCGGCAAAGAAACATCCATGGATCTCTGCGCGATGGAGGTGTCAATTGGCCTCTTCAAAGACTCTCCAAAAGGTTTGTAGACATCCATGAATGACTTGTAACTGAAATGACGCCCCAAAATTCCTTGTTCCAAATTGGCTCCATGACTGGTACTGGCAATGAACGCGTTGCAACTTCCAAAGCGGTCTGTGTATCAACAGGTGTGGAGACATCAAATGAATCAATGCTTGAAGTGTCGCGTATGTCTGAAAATCAAGTCCAACCTGTGAAGACCTACCAAGAGACGGCTCGGCAGATATACTGACATCGCAACCATCCTCTTCCCCAAAGAGCACGCTCATGAACATCTCCAAAAGATTTTCAGGTTGACTCTCTTCTGCATTGGGGAAACCAAAAATGTTAGGAATGCACTGCTTGCCAAGGTCAGTCCAACTCGAAAAATCTTCATGAGCACTGGTCAGTCTGTTTTCTTCATCCAAAGCTCCCGACTGCGCAGAAACGAAAATGGCTGCTTGTGAAGACTCAGGTTCGACCAACCTAGCAACCATGGCACCCTAACTAGTCTACCACTCTATCTAGTCCCCATTTGACAAGTCTTTGTTGTCAAAATTTTGGACAGGCCCGCCCTCCCTACCCTTGAGTGGAAAACTCGTAAGAGTAAACAATCAACGTGTGTGTCAACGTGTGTGTGTTGGTTTTGTGTTGTTTGTTCTGTTTTAAACAAGAAACAAAACAAAGTACAAACACAAAACCACGAGTTGCGTGAGGAAATAAAATCGAGTTTCTTTTCAAGAAGCTCTCAACTGCCCAATCTGACATGTTGATGTTTGACATGGACATGAAATGACATGCGCAAACGTCTGAAAAGAAATTGCAACCTGACTCGTGAAGTTGACACTTTCACACGATAAATTCAATGCACACAAATGATCAATCTCAGGTCAGAGCCTTGCCGAAATAATTCCCTTCTGCAAAAATTCACGCAAATAATCGCTGCAAATCATTTTCATCTTTCACGCAAACATCAATGTCTGCAATCATACATGTGCCTTTCTGAATCTGGCAAAGCATTGTTTGCAAATCGGCAAAAGCGACTGAGGTCGTGACTCAAGTGATATGTAACTCTTTGAGATGTCTCTGCCGCAAGTAAACCTGATACCTGATTCGTCCTCTTGGACGTGGATCGTCCTCGACAAAGGGTGCCTGAAGTAAACCGCCTGATCGGGCAGCTTGCTGACGTCCACACCGGCATCCCACTTGCCGAGGACTGCGTTCTCTGCTTTTTCATGGGCCAGGTGATCAGGTTGGTCCTCGTCTGCTGAGTCCTCCGATGAACTTCCAGAACAGTAGCCTTCAAAACCGCTTTGGTCTTGGTTTTCCAGAAGCTTTGCAGCGTCCTCCGCATGAGGAAACATCTCGGATCGCTTTGCATCGGGAAGAAACCCACCTTGCCTGATTGCTTCAAGAATCACATCGATTTCACGAAGGCCAGCACTGGTGTTGTCCTTGCCATAGATGAGCATCGTGGACATCTTGTCAGCAACGTGGTACCCCATAAGCCTTCTGAGGTCAGGCGAGGAACCCCACTTTGCCATCCACGACAAAATTGTCGACTTGCACGAGTGCGTCCCAATGGACTTGATTCTGTCCTCCTCGAAGTACTCCCCCGACTGCAACATGCTTCGGAGCCAGCTCGTCGCCGCCTCTGCTGTAAGTGGCAAAGTGTGCCAACCATCAGGAGTCCTCCCTGGGAGCAGTGGCTTACCATGCGCAGCCGTGATGCCGGTCTTCTCCAAAACCGTCTTCCAAGCCTTGCCCCAGGATTCAGTTGTGACACCATGCATGGCTGCTGTCATCGGGAGTAAACGGACCTTTCTGTCAACTGAAAAGGAGGTTTTTGATCTGGCAACCTGGGCTTCTATGTACCCGGTTTCATCATCACCAGCTTCAAAATCCAAACGCCCAACATTGAGCATGTCTGAAAATCTTGTACGTCCGTACACCATAAAAAGAAAACATCCAGCCGCATGCCTGTCTGGAAGACCACGACCTCGATAGCCAAGAACAATCTCTTCCAAAGTTGTCAGCTCTTCCACAGTCAGCGGCAGCCTGGATCTCGTCTTCTTCTTCTGCAGGTAGCACTTGTCGGCCAAGCCCTTGATGCGCCGTGAGTCCAAAACTCGTTTGGCACCTATCAAACCGACCACGTGCAACGCAAACCCCAAGGAGCTGAGGAAACTCCTCAAGAAGGTCGGCGCTGCAGACTGTTCCACATGTTGCATGAAGGCATACACAACCTCTTCTGTGATGGGAAAAGCTTTCAATTGCTTGTCTGCACAAAAATGCAAAAATCGCATCATAGGTCCAGCCCTGCCATGAAGTGTGGAAGTGCTCTTGCTTGAGAACACATTTCTCAGGTCATCCTGAAGCTTACCTCCTTGAAGTCCCGTGTTCAACGATTGAAAATGCATCCTGCAAACATCAAAAGACATCGGGTCAGCCAACACAATTTTATGCCACTTGGCCATGGCAGCACTGCGTTGTGAGTCAAGATGGACATCCCATTCCACCTGAGGCAGCTTGCAGTAAAGCCTCCTGCAATGGTCGTCAAATGCACTCGCCAGCTCTTCATGAACTGCTTCTGCAACATCTGAACTGGAAACAGCAGCAGGCAAAACTGGAGCCATACCCAGTGGTCCTTTCGGATGTGTTGACTGGTCCTGATCTGCCATGAAACCAAGCTGCCAAGGATATTTCAATGCAGACCTCTTCATAGATCGCTCACAAAATTGGATATGCTCAAAAAGAGCTGAACAGCTTCTCTTCTCCCCTTTTTCCACTGTGTGCTCAATCGGAGTGGCCATCGAAACTGCTGGAACTCCAGGACGAAGTCCCGACTGTCTGAACCGGGGATAGACAAGGTTGTACTGGCGGAGTTGGAACACCCCAACTCTCTAAATTGATATGTAATCTCTTTTCAGTGGCTCCCAAACCAATTTCCGTCCTGTCAACCTGCAGGACCACACAACTGAGGTGCAAACGCGCTTGTGAAAAGGTGTCCAAAAAAGTAATCAGTGTGATGGAAATTTCAAATGAGAGCCAAAGTTCGGAGACAAAAGGTCCAGAAATACGATCGCCGTTTGTAAAGCGTTCCAGGTCACACAGCAAAACTAATCTAGGCATCAATAGAGAAGACCCAGGCAATGAAAATCGCAAAAGCCAAAATGAGTCCACTCAAAACTCCAGTGATCGCCACCGTTGTCGTCCCAAAGGTCTGGACTGGCTGGCGTCCCAAACACAGCGGCGAAGTGAATGCAATGTGACCCTTACGGATGGCAGATCTGTTGCGCATCAAACGCTCTACAAAAATTGGAAAAAGGATTTGAATCCCTCCGCACCCGCCCTTGACTTGTAAAATTCCGCGAGTAACATTGATTGAACTTCATCAATTTGGTTTGTGTTTCTATTGCAAACAACGTTTGGAGAAACGACCTGAAACCTTGAACTTGACAAACGAAGTTTCACATATGAAACTAAAACGACATGCATTGAAGAAACGGATGAAAGCCAAGCACTTCGCTTGAAACATTCGGCTCACTTCATCAGATTCTTTTTTAAAAAAAACAATTTTGTCGAAACAAATAAAAGTGTTTTGGTTTGCAAGAAAGTTGTCAAACAACTTTCAAACGGTTTCAACTTTGTTGTCATAATTCATCATGAGTTTTCAACTCAAGTATTGCTTGTGATCCAGGGTGGAATTTACGTAACAAATAAGTCTGTGCAGTGCCTTGTCGCACTCTGCACTCCATTTTGTCACGCGAGATGCCAGGCCTTGAACGGCCCGCAGCAAGTCGAATCGTGCCATCCTGGCTGCAAATAGCACTTTCATAAGGACCCTTGCGGCTATGGGAGCCAATACACCTTTGGTTTCCTTCTCATCGGCGATGGGCCGTGCTATCCGTTCTTCGTGGAATGGTGTGAAAACTTGTTTCAAAGGCTTGGCATCCCTGCCAGCGAGTGATAAGTATCTATCGACACATGATTTCAGGAAAGGCTCCATGTCATATGTGAAAGTCGTCACAGGCTTTTGCATGCAGGGTTGGTTCTCGAAAAGTTGGTCCATATACGAAAAACCTTCCGCCCTAGCTTTCTTTTTGGCTCCGGACTTGTCCCTTTTGATGGTAGCCATTGCAGCTTTCGGATCTTTGCATGATGTGGGAAAGAAGTAAGTGGTGCCGACCCAAGATTCATTCAGGCTACCCCCTCTGTTCACGTTGGATCCAATTCCGATAGTGTCCCATTGTTCAACTTCATTTTCATTGTTGTTACATGGGATTGCATTCGTGAATCTGAATCGGGCTAAATGGCATGTCTTTACAACTTCCTCATCGGGCAAAAAGAGTTTCTTCCTTGGCTGCACATGGTGTCTCATGTAGACATCGTTGACGGTGTCGAGCTCCCAAAAATCCTGAGTCCTGTGGCACGCGGCGGCGGCAGGCGCGGCCCGGATCGGCCAGTGACTTGTCAAAGACATGAGCGTAAGGGTGATCCTCAACCTTGAGCTTTACATTGTATTGAGCTACATGGTCGCATCCAAGATATCTATTGACTTCTCCGGGAGTGTCCATGTCAATCTTTGATGCAATTAAGCTCCATCCCTTTGACATGTTTTCTTTGGGACCGGACATCTTAAAATCATCAACGTACACCACAAGCAACAACTTGAGCTCTGGATGGAAAAACACCGAAGGCCACCCTTCCGGGTCTAGCATGATAAAGCCCACTAGTTTCAACATGGCTTCACAGTACTGTTCCCAGAGTCCCCCCGAGTCGGGGTGACCGTAAAGAGCGATGCGAAGCAATACAACTGGTCTAATGAACTTACCATACCACTCTTTGGGCCATCGATCGGGTGGGAGTTCCACCCACGTCTCCACGCCCTTCCACAAGGCTTGAGTAAGCTTGTACTCCGTCATTTTGTTGGGTTATGAATCCCAGTTGAGCTCCGTAGGCATCCACTGCTTTGCCAGCTTCCATGGTGGCGGGTGAAGAACCTAATTCGGAGAACAGTGCAACATCGGCGCTTTCGTCCTTTACGTTGTTGCCTTGAAATACTGTTCTTCCTTTGAATTTCCGGAGTTTATCTCCCTCGGGTAATTCACTTCCCTTTTCAACGCAAATCTCAAAGACCTTTCCTACGTGGACCTTCTTCCCAGTCTTTTTGGCCTTGTCGGCAATGACCTTCCATTCGGCCACTGTCTCATATTGCCATGCCTTCTTCTTTACCAGTTTCTCCCACTCTACATCTAAGGCTTGCTGGGCTTTGGGATTGGCTCTAATTTCCTTTTTCCCGACTGGCCTAGCCACCAAAGTGTTAATGGCTTTCTCCCCTGATTGGATTCCGAGCCTAATACACTTAGTTCGATGCTTCTGAGGGTTCATCTGGCATACAGGCATTGCTGGGATGAATTCGTAGGATAAACATTCTTCCAATTCATTTGGTGATTCCTTGAGAGTTCCGATCATGGGTACAGCTTTCACTCGTTTGGCGCGTTTCTTTTCCTTTTCTTCCAGGGCTAACTTTCGTTGTTCATCTGCTATTGATGTCCTTCGTTCTCTTTGAGACATTGCTTGCCATACGAATGGAGGGATGTCCTTTGGTTTACTTGAATTCTTGTACTTTCTTGCTTTAAAACCACCTGCGTCATAGAATGAGGGGTCATTGGTCCTGATTCTTTCAAGCTCCCCCGTAATCGGATTGATTACCTCGACCTCTTCATCAGGTGCAGCTCCTCTGATGGGCTCGTCCACACGGTTCCTCAGGTCGATCGGTTCTTTTGAGAAGATTGAGACAATTACCTCATGAACCTCAATGTCCTTTTCGAGATCTTCGACCGGAGGATCGATCTTCAAATTCTCTTCGTGGACATGCCATGATTCATCATCTTTAATGCATGTTGTTCGAAACGGAAAGTCGGCTGCATCAAAGTCGGGAGATGGACCTATACATTGATTGTCGATGATCCGAACATTCACTTTGCAATTGGCATATTCGTACCATGCCTCTTTGTGGTCAACGTGCTTGAAAAACTCTAACCACCCCTGGTGATAAACAGCGGATGCACTGGACTGTTGGGCAGGTTGTCCAGCTTCAATGTCAGTGATTGTTCTTTTGGCTGGGCCTGGCTCCCGCACAGGCTGAGCGTCTTGCTCTTCCGGTGGCGGTAGTGCATCCTGGTCATCACACAGTTGGTTTGGTTTCAAGCTACCTTCTCGGATGGCATCGGCACGTTTGCGACAGGGAAACTCGATTCTCTCAGGAATAGAAATCTTTAACACCCTCAATACCGTAACGGATTGGTCAAAATCTGCATCATTGATTTGCTTTAGAGATGCTACTGCAAATTCCTTTCTCCAATGGAAGCCTGGATGGATAACATATCCTAGGAAGATACCGGGTTCAGAGGTCGGTTCGAACTTCATCTGCCTTTTGGGTTTCTTCCGAGGTCCAGTCCAATAGTCAACCTTACATCCAAACGGGGACAAGTGGTCCTTCGAAGTCTGTCCCAAATCTCAACTTCCATGGTGTGTCCTTTCCGGTTCCATCTGGTGCTGTGTCATGCATGATGCACCAATGTCTGGCGGCATAGGGCCAGTATCCATGGTGAAGTCCTGCTTGAAGCAAATTGGCACGTGTTCCTTCCAACGTTGACCGCACGGCTCGTTCGGCGATGGCATTGGATGTTGAAATGTAATCTTTACTGATTTGATGCCTGATCTTCATTACTCTCATAGCTGCTACAATCTCAGGGGCATTGTCACTGTAAAAGATTCCAATTTTCTCCAAGTCATCAACGAAATGTTTCATCGCCAGTGTGGTGTTGGATGTATCACGACGTGCAGCGGGGTAAACATATCGAAAGTCAGTGGCAACATCCTTAAATACCATTGCGACCCTGTCTCCGTCTACACCAGTTTCGGGGTCTGATTTGGCAATTAGGTAGTCACCCGTGACATGGTCCCCAAACTTCTTTGCGTCAACCATGGATGATCCTCCCTTAGAGTATCCAGGTGGCTTGTACATCTTGGCCTTCGTACAGACATCACAGTAGGGATTCTTAGGAATGTGGGTAAGCATGTGTCGTTTGCTCTTAGCTTCAGCCTTGAGTGCGGCCTTACCCCTTTCCCTACGTCTTTCCATTTCCGGGTCACGACGGACGTCATCCCTTGATTCATCAACTTCATCAGGCTGGACCTCCCGGTCAGCGGGTGCAATGCCTTCTTCATCGGAGGGCGCATCGGCACCGGGGCCGCCTGAGATGTCAGGTACAAGGTCGTCATCAAGCTTTGATGAATTACCACCTACAATGGCGGGTTCGTCATCTTCATATTCTTCGTCGTAAAGGTCCAGCATGAAGCCTGACTCGGGCCCAGAAGAACTAGCCATCACTTTCACTCTTTTCATGGGAGAACCATTCTCACCACTTTCGTTGCGACCCGGCTTTGTCGGTGTTTGCTTCAAAGTGTCAGGGTGAATGTCATGCCGTGAAGGCTGCTCTTTGTGATCTCGGGGATCCTGGCTGGGGGGATCCCTGGTTTCTGCATTGAGCTTTGTTGCTTCCCACACCCGCTGAATTGGCCCATGGTGTTTTTGTGGCGTGTCTTGTTTTTTGTTTATTGTATGGGCCAGCGTCATCATGGCACACAAGATGTCATTTTGCATGCACCGAGATGATACTAAGCTATCACCTCTTGCTTTAATCGATCTTTTTCACCCATAAACTGGAACTTGTCACGTCACTGCTCTGTGGTGTGTGTTGTTTTTTGGTTTGTTTGCTTTTGTTTTTGTGTGTTTGTGTTCTGT